TCACAAGGACTAAACTCTAGGATGGACAGAGACCTGAGACTTCATTAACCGAGAGTGATCTCTACAAATCAAATCAAATCAAAAATGTATTTGCCACATGCGCCGAATACAACAGGTGTAGACATTACAGTGAGATGCTTACTTACAAGCCCTTAACCAACAATGCAAAGTAAAACAAATAAAAAAAGTGTTAAGCAGAGTGGAGATGTTTGATACTGAGAACTCTCCTGGAAACCTCTCTGTCCTCCTCTCACACCTCACTGATGAGGATCAGGGAGATTACAGGTGTATAATTAAGCAGTAAGGCATGAGGGGGTGTGGTATATGGCCAATATACCACGGCTAAGGACTGTTCTTACGCACGACGCAACGCAGAGTGCCTGGATACAGCCCTTAGCCGTCGTATATTGGCCATATACCACAAACCCCAGAGGAGTCTTATTGCTATTATAAACTGGTTACCAACGTAATTAGAGCAGTAAAAATAAATGTTTTGTCATACAAATTGGAATATGGTCTGATATACCACGGCTGTCAGCCAATCAGCATTCAGGGCTCCAACCACCCAGTTTATAATCAATAATAGAGAATACAGAGACATCACTCATCATGTTAAAGGTAAGACACCTGATTCTGATCTACCCTTTTCATTTATTTGTATGTATATTTAATTTCATTTTAAATAATCAATTTTACACCAAATCCATTAGAAAGTCAAGACATCATGATTACAAAACACTTCTGCAAAGGATGTCAATTGTCACTAAAATACAGGGCCTCTATCTGACTCCCTGACCAAAGCCATTATCATACAGCTCTGTCCCTGATCTGGCAGTAGCATTGAGTGTAGCCTACTAGACCAAACACAGTGTCTTCATAAACACTCATCACAATGATTATAATTTGAAAGGCATTGAAATATCTTGAATCTAGAAAGTGGCCAGTCATACCTGTTGCCTCTGTATAAGTGCTTCTGCCCTGGGTAAAAACATTGATAATCTCCTCTCACATGAATAGACCAACCCATACCAACCACCAAACCAACAACAGCCACCCAACCAACAACAACCCCCCAACCAACAACAACCACCCAACCAACAACAACCACCACCCAACCAACCGTAACCACCCAACCAACAACAACCACCATCCAACCAACAAAAACAACCACCACCCAACCAACAACAACCACCACCCAACATTTACATTTACATTTACATTTTAGTCATTTAGCAGACGCTCTTATCCAGAGCGACTTACAGTTAAGTGAGTGCATACATTTTCATACTGGCCCCCCGACCAACAACAACCACCCAACCAACAACAACCACCACCCAACCAGCAACAACCACCACCCAACCAACAACAACCACCCCCCAACCAACAACAACCACCACCCAACCAACAATAACCACCACCCAACCAACAACAACCACCACCCAACCAACAACAACCACCCAACCAACAACAACAACCACCCAACCAACAACAACCACCCAACCAACAACAACCACCCAACCAACAACAACCACCACCCAACCAACAACAACCACCCAACCAACAACAACCACCCAACCAACAACAACCACCACCCAACCAACAACAACCACCCAACCAACAACAACCACCCAACCAACAACAACCACCACCCAACTAACACCTACAACCCAACCATCAACAACAACCACCACCCAACCAACAACAACCACCCAACCAACAACAACCACCACCCAAGCAGAGACACACACAAATGTACAGACACACGCATACGCATACATTGTAATATTGTTGTTTGGTGGTATTATACATTTTGTATTGTAGATAGATAGTGGTGTAATAATGTTATATGATGTACTGTTTTATATTTTGTTTTATATGTAATGTAAGTGCTTTAATGTGTTTGGACCCCAGGAAGAGTAGCTGCTGCTTTGGCAACAGCTACTGGGGATCCCTAATAAATGCAAAAATACAAAATAACACCACCCAACCAACAACAACTACCACCCAACCAACAACTACCCAACCAACCAACAACAACCACCCAACCAACAATCGTAGGTAAGTGCCAATGCATAATTATATACTCATTATGATATAGCAACTCCATGAGAACATTATAATACCATTTCAGAAGGACCTATTTTACACACATACACATGGCTTGATATTGTATGTACACTAACGTTTTTAACAGAGACCAGACCCCTCCTGTACTTCCCCTTTGGTATTGTGCCAGCGCTCATTGTGGTCATTGTGGTCATAGCAGTCATTGTGGTTATAACAGTCATTGTGGTTATATCAGTCATTGTGGTTAAAACAGTCATTGGGGTCATAGCAGTCATTGTGGTTATAACAGTCATTGTAGTTATAACAGTCATTGTGGTTATAGCAGTCATTGTGGTTATAACAGTCATTGTGGTTATAGCAGTCATTGTGGTTATAACAGTCATTGGGGTCATAGCAGTCATTGTGGTTATAACAGTCATTGTGGTCAGAGCAGTCATTGTGGTTATAACAGTCATTGTGGTCATAGCAGTCATTGTGGTTATAACAGTCATTGTGGTTATAGCAGTCATTGTGGTTATAACAGTCATTGTGGTCATAGCAGTCATTGTGGTTATAGCAGTCATTGTGGTTAAAACAGTCATTGGGGTCATAGCAGTCATTGTGGTTATAACAGTCATTGTAGTTATAACAGTCATTGTGGTTATAACAGTCATTGTGGTTATAGCAGTCATTGTGGTTATAACAGTCATTGGGGTCATAGCAGTCATTGTGGTTATAACAGTCATTGTGGTCATAGCAGTCATTGTGGTTATAACAGACATTGTAGTTATAGCAGTCATTGTGGTTATAGCAGTCATTGTGGTTATAGCAGTCATTGTGGTTATAACAGTCATTGTGGTCATAGCAGTCATTGTGGTTATAACAGTCATTGTGGTTATAACAATCATTGGGGTCATAGCAGTCATTGTGGTTATAACAGTCATTGTGGTCATAGCAGTCATTGTGGTTATATCAGTCATTGTGGTTATAGCAGTCATTGTGGTTATAGCAGTCATTGTGGTTATAGCAGTCATTGTGGTCATAGCAGTCATTGTGGTTATAGCAGTCATTGTGGTTATAGCAGTCATTGTGGTTATAGCAGTCATTGTGGTTATAGCAGCCATTGTGGCTATAGCAGTCATTGTGGTTATAGCAGTCATTGTGGCTATAGCAGTCATTGTGGTTATAGCAGTCATTGTGGTTATAGCATTGTTACTGAAGAAGAGGAGCAGAGCAGTAGGACCAGATGTCAAACAGTCACAGTCTGATGATGTGAATTATGTTAATCAAACTGAAACTGTCAATATCAGATAACTTTAAGATTATGCCTACATTTTGCATATTTAGTTGTTTTTTATACTTATTTTTTTAGGGCCAAAAGCTAAGTGTCTTTTTTTTGTTCTATGATACTGTATATCAGGTTTTATCTATCTTTAGTTTGGTACATTAAGGTCTATTTCTGATATGTGTCCTTTTTAAAACTAAGTTAAGTGGGTGTCGTTAAGTGGGTAGATTTTCTCAAAGCATACAGCTAATATGGCTTTTATTGTATTGAGTTCTCTTTTAAATAAAACAAGTAAATGATGTAAACTGTGTTTGTGCTAAGTTCTAAGACACTGGGTTATTATCTGTCATTAGTCAAATAAAATGTACCATGTGTATGGGTGCATACTGCATAGAATAAGAACTGGAAATTAAACTATGTAATCAACAAACACCTGATTAAAAGACAGTCAACTTCGCTGCTGAAAAACACCGCAATCAACAACGTAAAGATGCTGAAAAAACCCCATATATCACCCACCCAATAGGAGTGGCAAGGATCCTAAGCCATGAAGGTGGGATCACAGACATTGAAGTTTTGCAAGCAGCTTTGCTCCATGACACAGTGGAGGACACTGACACCAGCATAGGAGAGCTACAGGCTGTCTTTGGGCAAACGGTGGCACGGCTTGTCCAGGAAGTGACAGACGACAAGGCGCTGTCCAAGGAGGAGACAAAGCGTCAGCAGGTGGAGTACGCACCTCACGCCAGCCACCAGGCCAAATTGGTCAAACTGGCTGACAAACTGTACAACCTAAGGGACATCAACCGCTGCACGCCCACAGGTTGGACGGCAGAGCGTGTTCAGGAGTACTTTGTGTGGGCAGCCCAGGTAGTGAGAGGGCTAAGGGGGACCAACCCAGCACTGGAGGGACACCTAGAGGAGCTCTTCAAACAGAGGGGGATCGAGCTTTGACACCTCTCTGCTTCTGACACAGGGTGCCACAACAGAGCAACTGTTGACGCACACTTTTGTAAAGAGTTTAAGACCTTGAGTGAATTGTCTTTGTTAGCTTCTCCATGGAATATACTTTTATATACTCTTAACTCACAAGGAAAAGGTTACTTTGGATTTATTTTTATCGGTGATTTGATTCTTCATTTTAAGTACAGTACTTTGTATACATTGTGTGTAGAACTGGCAAACCAACAATGTCACTTTGAGTTCTCGCTGGATTGAATAAAGCAATGCTATGCACTCGTAAAAGTGAAAAATGGTAAAAAAATGATTATAATATTTAATGGTGATGCAGAACCTGTAACTACTCTATCATGGCTAATTGCTCCTGTAAGTCGCTCTGGATAAGAGCGTCTGCTAAATAATGTAAATGTAAATGTAAATGTAAATATGATATTCCGCAGGAAAGTCCATCTTCAGCAGAGACAAAATTATGGCCTGCAGTTCCCTGCCACAGGATGTGGTTTAGGTGGCATAGCATGACATTCTCACACTCATCTAACACTATGCACGGAAAGCTGAAACTGACTCACAAATAGCTCACTGTGGCTTCAGGGTCTGCATACAGAGAGAAACCTAAGAGAAACCCTCCCCTGTCTTCTCTGATCTTATTCAAACAGTCTATCTGCTATGAACAGTCCTCACTTGACTTTAAACAGCCCTGCTGTCTGACCTCATACTGGCTGACGATGGCTGAGAAGGCGGGTGAGGTCCGGCAGCTCTCGTCCAGCAGGCTCATGCTGCGGTCGTAGTGACCGATGTAGGTCGTGAAGACCACAAACTCAAACTTCCTGGATAGGATGACATCCGCAATCCTCTGGCTCTCCTCCCTGAAGTAAGAGAAAGAATGGGATGAAGAAAAGAAACGGAGTAAAATGAAGGAGTGCACACTAGACACTGTGCTCAGTATGCAGCAGACACATGGACCATCTGATCTGATGAATGACCTCTGTGCTGCATTAATGTGTGTTCTGTCGGTCATGAGTACTGTATGTGTTGGCTGTGTGTGTGTGTGTGTGTGTGTGTGTGTGTGTGTGTGTGTGTGTGTGTGTGTGTGTGTGTGTGTGTGTGTGTGTGTGTGTGGTGTGGGTTCTGCAATGTCTCACCACTGTCGGATGCGGTTCTCTAACTCGGTGAGGATTCTGCGGTGCAGAGTGTAAACATCAGGCAGCTCGTTGAGGATCTCCCTCAGCCTCTCCTCCTCCAGCACAGGATCCCCCTCATCCCCTACTGCAGCCCCCACCGCCTCCCTGAAGTCCTGACACAGAGATGAAGATGATTTGATCATATGGGTTATTAAAATACTGTACATGACACACAGTCATTGTATGAAGTCAATCAGTGCTTCCAGTCCTACGGCTGGAAGAGTACTCCATTCACACAACAAAAATGTGAATTTCCGATTCAGTGAGCATTATGTCGGTCTGTCAGTCTGTCATGATGTCTATTTTTTTGACAGACTGCTAATGATTGCACGAGGCAGCCAGTTAGCTCATATAATGTACAGAGCCAGAGCATTAGATTATCTCCATAAGCCATAAAATGTAGGCCTGCTATGGTACATGTATGTTTACTTGCCTACATATACAGTAGTATAGTGCAGTACCCTGTCAATGACTGCAATAGGGGCATTGCCACATTTTGTGATGGAATTTTCATTACATCTTACAATTACGTCTCTAATCACAACAATTGCACACTCCAGGTTCTCTTGTTCTCACCCAGAAATAATACAGACTAAAATTGCTGTGTCATTCCATTAACCATGATGAGCTGACCCACTTTTTAAAGCACCAACCCCAGCCTGGTTTCTCAGGAGAGGGATGACAGACAGGGCGTTGTGATGTAATGCAGAGAGAAGTGCACCGAGATTAACTTTGACCCCAGAAGGGTTGCATTCCAAATCCCTTGCCTTTGTCTTGAAATGTGCAATGAACCACTTACTCTCCCTTAAAATAGGATAGTTGCTCTGCTGCTAAAAACTCATCCACAGCTAGTGCAGACAGCGCTGCTCTCCAGTCTGTGGGTAACCCTCCATTACATAATTCAAAGCCATCCCAATGATTCTATCTTGTCTGAGTGATTCACATGATTTGACATTCCACAGACAAAGAAATACTGTCTGCCAGGATCTGAACTCATGGCTGCTAGTGTACCCACTACTGTACTGTTGTACCAAGTACCAAACATATCACTGAAGATCGCCATCCTAACCCTTACTCCACATCTTTTGTATCTCTCTCCTTCCCAGCTCATAGGGGCACTAAAAGACGACAGGTAGCTTTCTTGGAGCAGATTTTGCTCCATGAAGGTAAGGGGAAATCCATCTATGAAAACATGTCTGGTTCAAAGACTTCTTGATACTTACCTCCTGGAGAAGCTTGAGGGCTTTCACATGTCTGCAGAGAGAGAAATTGTGTCAGGTTTCCATGTGCAGACAAATGTAAATATGCATTAATTTACAGGTTATTAAGGTGACAGAACAAGGTGAAAGGGACACGACAATGTTACAGAGTTACAGAGTTACAATGAGGCTGATCATTAGTGTTCTATGTGATTCTCAGGCCACTCACAGTCTCTCAGTGTCCACCAGCTCTTTGGCAATGTAGAAGGCTCTGGATCGACCATCGCTCTGTAAAGAACTACATTATCAGTAACAAATCTCTGTTGAATAGCAAACATTATACAATAGCAATATCTTAACTTATTTTTGAACACTCAAGCAGTCTCAAAGGTTCTGAAGCCTCACCTGTCTGTCATATGTGTTATCTGCTCCTCCCTCCTCCTCCTCCTCAGAGGTGCATCCTTGGTCCTCCTCCCCAGTTGTCCCTCCCCCCGCCTCACCCCCTGTCCCACCAGGGGGACCAACAGCTATGGAGCACATGGTGTAGGCTTCTGTATAGGCACTGAGATGACAGAATCAGAGTATCAGTATAGTGTAGTTCATACTCTTCACACACAGGTCACCAAACACACACAGGTCACCAAACACACACAGGTCAACAAACACACACAGGTCAACAACTCAATATTAGGAAGGTGTTCTTAATGTTTTATACACTCAGTATATATCCATTGTTTAGCTGGGGGGGCAGTCCTAAACCCATCAAAGTTATTACTAAACCAAAGTACATTTACAGGGAGGCGTTATGAAGCTGTAATTCATCTGATGGTGTCACGACTTCCTCCGAAGCTGCCTCCTCTCCTTGTTCGGGCAGGCTTCGGCGTTCGTCGTCGTGGAGCTCCTTGTACTTTGTATCGACATATATACGGAATAAACGTTTATTCTGTGATTAACCCTCCTGCGCCTGACTCCTTCCAAATCACACGCCACAGAATCACACACCCACTATGGGGTCAGTAGTAGAAGAGCCCATGCCTGGAGTCGTGACACGGGTCCACGAGCATTCCAGGATTCTAGCCAGCTTGGGAAAAGCGATGGATTGGGTTCTCCAGGTCGTCCAACGCCTGGAGAGGAGAGGACCCGGCCCGTCGGGACCAGCTGAGCGACCGGATCCGGCCACCCACACTCCATCACCCCGAGGGATTCATCTATCCCGACCGAGGGAGTTTGACGGGACGGCTGCCCGCTGCCAGGGATTCCTCCTGCAGCTGGACCTCTACTTCGTGAACATCAGCCCGGCTCCATTGGAGCGGGAGAAGGTGTCCGCTCTCGTCTCCTGCCTCTCGGGGAAAGCCCTGGAGTGGGCCAACGGGGTCTGGAGAGAAGGAGGAACCGCGTTGGACACCTACAGGGAGTTCGCTCACCTCTTCAGGGCAGGGGACGAGGACCGAGCAGGACTTCGCCCTGGAGTTTCGGACCCTAGCGGCTGAGTCCGGGTGGAATGAGCGGGCCCTGATCGACGGATTCCGGTGCAGCCTGCAAGAGGACGTCAAAAGGGAGCTAGCCTGCCATGTTAACCTTCGACCAGCTGGTGGACATCGCCATCCGGTTGGACAACCTGCTGGCTGCTAGAGGACGTCCTGGGAGTGGCTTGCCCATTTCACCCCCCCCTGCAACTCGGAGTCCATTCCGATAGAGCTGGGTGGGGCAACGATCCGGGAGAACGGAGGAGGACAGCTTCAGTGTCACTCTTGTGGCAGAAGAGGACATTATACTGCACGCTGTCGTGAGGGTTCTTCCGGGTCTGGAGGCGGCAGGCAGGGCACTCTCGCATCACCCCAGGTAGCGCAAACCCACACTCGGTCAGAGCCCTCTGCTGCACACTGCACCATACACGTCACCTTCCCTGACTACCAGGGGCAGCTGGGAACTTTATGGACAGGTCGTTAGCTCTAAGTCTAGGTATTCCATTGGTTCCCCTATCCACTCCACTGCCCATCAAAGCACTTGACAGTTGACCATTAGGGTCAGGGTTCGTTAGGGAAGTTACAGCACCAGTCACGATGGTTACCCAAAGGACCCATTGAGAGCACGTCACATTTTTTATTATTTTGTCCCCCGATTTCCCTGTTGTGTTGGGTCTTCCCTGGTTAGCACTACACAACCCCACTTTTTCATGGCCACAGAGGGTTCTCACAGGGTTGTCGCGAGAGTGCCTAGCTGTTTCTGTTGGTGCAACCACGGTGGAAAGTCCAGAGACTTCCTCCACCGTGCGCATCCACCCCGAATACCTCAATTTGGCGCACACGTTTTCCAAAACGCAGGCAACCAAATTACCGCCTCATCGGGGCGGGGGGGATTGCGCGATAAACCTTCGAGTAGACGCTGTGCCTCCCAGGATTCATGTATATCCCCTGTCACAGGCTGAAACGGAAGCGATGGAGACATCCGAGTCCCTGCACCAGGAGTTCATACGTCCCTCCACTTCGCCCGCCTCCTCGAGTTTCTTTTTTGTGAAGAAGAAAGACAGAGGTCTGCGCCCGTAAATTGATTACTGAGCATTGATCAAGGGGACAATACGTTATAGTTATCCTCTGCCCCTCATCCCATCTGTGATCGAGTCAATGCATGGGGCGCGCTTTTTCACAAAATTAGATCTCCGGAGTGCATATAACCTGGTGCGTGTCCGAGAGGGGGACGAATGGAAGACAGCATTCAGCACAACCACGGGGCAATACCTGGTAATGCCTGTTTGATGAATGCTCCATCCGTTTTCCAGTCCTTTGTGAACGAGGTGTTTCGGGACATGCTTGGTCATGGTGTAGTGGTCTACATCGATGACAGCTCGGCTGCAGTACGTGCCGTCTTTTGTCCGTGACCGTCTGATCTATTGGGCCCACACATCTCCCTCCTCTGGTCACCCAGGTATCGGTCGTACAGTGCGCTGCCTGACCAGAAAGTACTGGTGGCCTATCTTGACAAAGGACGTGAGGGTGTATGTCTCCTCCTGCTCGGTGTGCGCCCAGAGTAAGGCACCTAGGCACCTCCCAGCGGGTAAGTTACAGCCCTTACCAGTTCCACAACGGCCATGGTCCCACCTGTGTATTGACTTTCTAACCGATCTTCCCCTCTCTCAGGGTAACACCACCATCCTGGTCGTTGTGGACTGCTTTTCAAAAGCCTTCCGCCTCCTTCCTCTGCCCGGTCTCCCCACGGCCCTGCAGACGGCGGAGGCCCTGTTTACTCACGTCTTCCGGCACTATGGGGTGCCAGAGGATATAGTGTCTGACCGGGGTCCCCAGTTCACATCCAGGGTCTGGAAAGCGTTGATGGAACGTCTGGGGGTCTCGGTCAACCTGACCTCTGGGTTTCACCCCGAGTCTAATGGGCAGGTGGAATGGGTGAATCAAGATGTGGGTAGGTTCCTGCGGTCCTACTGCCAGGACCGGCCGGGGGAGTGGTCGGTGTTCTTGCCATAGGCCGAATATGCCCATAACTCTCTTCATCACTCCTCCACTAACCTAACTCCCTTTCAATGTGTCTTAGGTTATCAGCCGGTTCGCTGCTCACGTTCACCTCCAGCGCGCCGTGTGTCACCAGAAGGCCAACACTGACCGCCACCGCAGTGAGGCCCCGGTTTTTGTACCAGGTGATCGGTTCTGGCTCTCGACCCGGAATCTGCCTCTCCGCCTGCCCTGCCGGAAGCTGAGCCCGCGGTTTGTGGGGCCGTTCAAAGTCCTGAGGAGAATCAACGAGGTTACCTATAGGTTACTACTCCCTCGAGATTACCGTATTAACCCCTCGTTTCATGTGTCTCTCATCAGGCCTGTGGTGGCTGGTCCGCTCCAGGAGTCTGAGGTGCGGGAGGTCCCTCCGCCCCCTCTGGACATCGAAGGGGCCCCAGCAAACTTTGTCCGTTCCATCCTGGGGGGGTACTGTCACGACTTCCTCCGAAGCTGCCTCCTCTCCTTGTTAGGGCAGGCTTCGGCGTTCGTCGTCACCGGCCTTCTAGCCACTGCCGCTCTTCATCTCATCATTCCATTTGTTTTGTCTTGTTTATTACACACACCTGGTTTCAATTCCCCTCATCAGTACCTGTATAAGTGTTCCCTCTGCCCCCTTGTCTTTGTGTGTGATTGTTTATTGTGGAGGTTATATGAGCTCGGTGGAGCTCCTTGTACTTTGTATCGACATATATACGGAATAAACCTTTATTCTGTGATTTACCCTCCTGCGCCTGACTCCTTCCAAATCACACGCCACAGATGGGCAGTGGATCAAATCCATAAAAGACAAAACTCTGATTGTTAGACAGATAAAAAAATACAACATAAAAAACATTATTGAGATTAATATGAAGGTGGGAGACCCAGTGAGACACAGCTTGTCTTCAGCTAGTGTCCATTTCCAAACCAACACAGAGAGGTCTAGTAACGCTTCTTTATAGGAAATGAAGAGGAACATGTCTGATCAATGGAAAGGAGGATGAATCAACCCCAGAGTGATCTCTCATAGGCCACGGTATCATCAGCTGATGAATGGCTCATAAAACTCAAAGGCTCTTAGATAAACAAATTAAAAACCATTTGTTCAGGAAGAGAACAATGAGGTTGTTAGAGAAATGTTTCAAGATTCTATCTGCCCACTCCAGCTCGCTCTATGGCGTTTCCATCATTAATGTCTTTATCTACAGACCACAACATGAAGTCTTATCTTTATACAGCATTTACATTGATACAAAGTCTATAAAGTTGTATCAATACACTGAGTGCACAAAACATTAGGAACACCTGCTCTTTTCATGACATAGACTGACCAGATGAATCCAGGTGAAAGCTATGATCCCTTATTGATGTCACCTGTTAAATCCACTTTAATCATTGTAGATGAAGCGGAGGAGACAGGTTAAAGAAGGATTTTTAAGCCTTGAGACAATTAAGACCTGGATTGTGCATGTGTGCCATTGAGAGGGTGAATATTTTGTACACAGTGAATTTCAGATTCCTCCACATAATTTGTCTCTTAGTCAGAGCAGTCCTACTCTCCTCTCTCCATAAAGCTTTATCTGTGAGATATATGACGCAGATGAATTGCACTCAACCGTCTGAGTTGACTTTATATGCCTCCATGTTAAAATACTGCTGTAATAATAGCAAAGTTACAGTATGTGGAGGACCATCAGAAGTATGGATAGCCTGAATGGGAAATTATGACAAGTGTGGGGAGAGACCAATAAACCTTCTATAGTGCCTCCAGCGACACAGCCATACCCAGGCCATGGCCCAGCATCAGTGGGATGGGATGGTACATGCTGACAGATGCACTTCTGCTGGTAGCCTGGGTGGATATGCTAATGATTGCGGCTCAGTAGGGAGTGTGCGCTAATGCTCTGATGATAACACATCCTTGAGTTAGCAGTGTGGCAGACCCCAGTGCTTCTTATTGCTGTGACAGTGTGAATGCTGTGCTTCACTGCATGCTCCAATGGGTTTAACACCACTGAAATGTACATTAGAAGATTCTCAAAAAACCTAAACAACATGTAGAGGGTTCCATTCTTTGCATCTCACAAATAGGAAGTTACTACACTGAACAAAAATATAAACGCAACATGTAAAGTGTTGGTCCCATGATTCATGAGCTGAAATAAAATATCCCAGAAATGTTCCTTACGCACAAAAAGCTTATTTACATCCCTGTTAGTGAGCATTTCTCCTTTGCCAAGATAATCCATCCACCTGACAGGTGTGGCATATCAAGAAGCTGATTAAACAGCATGATCATTACACAGGTGCACCTTGTGCTGGGGACAATAAAAGGCCACATAAAATGTGCAGTTTTGTCACACAACACAATGCCACAGATGTCTCAAGTGTTGAGGGAGCATGCAATTGGCATGCTGACTGCAGGAATGTCCACCAGAGCTGTTGCCAGAGAATTTAATGTTCATTTCTCTACCATAAGCCACATCCAACGTCGTTTTAGAGAATTTGGCAGTACGTCCAACTGGCCTCACAACCGCAGACCACATGGCATCGTGTGGGCGAGCGGTTTGCTGATATCAACGTTGTGAACAGAGTGCCCCATAGTGGCGGTGGGGTTATGGTATGGGCAGGCATAAGCTACGGACAACGAACACAATTGCATCGATGGCTATTTGAATGCACAGAAATACCGTGACGAGATCCTGAGGCCCATTGTGAGGCCCATTTTTTAAAGGTATCTGTGACCAACAGATGCCTAATTTACTTATTTCAATTGACTGATTTCCTCATGTGAACTGTAACTCAGTAAAATCTTTGAAATTGTTGCATGTTGCATTTATATTTTTGTTCAGTATATTGGACCATAACTGCTGATTAAATTGTATTGTTCCACTATAACAGTAAGAATATATAAATATAGCAGATTAGTACCTTCTCAGTTAATGCTAGTGTCATGGACCAAATCGGACCATTAACATTTTAGTCATTTAGCAGACGCTCTTATCCAGAGCGACTTACAGTTAGTGAGTGCATACATTATTTTTTTATTTTTCATACTGGCCCCCCGTGGGTAGAGCATGCAAACGCCATGCTCTACCAACTGAGCTACATCCCTGCCGGCCATTCCCTCCCCTACCCTGGACAACGCTGGGCCAATTCTGCGCCGCCCCATGGGTCTCCCGGTCGCGGCCGGCTACGACAGAGCCTGGATTCAAACCAGGATCTCTAGTGGCACAGCTAGCACTGCGATGCAGTGCCTTAGACCACTTAATCTCAGCATGTTACAACTTGCCCTCTGGCAACTCAAGGCAATAGCATCCCAGTATCTGCAGCCTTTGTGCTATGATGTTTTAGGACAGCCAAAGGCTAAATCTACTGTGGAAAATTACAAAAGGAGATAAAAAATGATTCTTACATGCTTCCCCGGGCTCTTTGTGAACCTATTTGTTCCTTCTGCTGATAGCGGGAGGTTGAGTGGACACTGCTCAATGACCTTCAATATACTGAAGGATTTGGTTTATGGGATAGTAATTATTCTACAGTGGCTAAAATAGTGAATATACATGTAAAGAAGACTTGTGCCTCAGTGTGTTCAGTGCTGTGCTATTAATGCTATCACAAGAGGTGTCTGACTGTTTCTGCATGAAACACCACAAACAAGTCAAGACAACCACATATTGGCTTAAGCAGTCTGGCACCCAGGCTACTTGAGGTGTTAGGTCACCCTACTTTTACACCTAAACTTGAAGCACGCCAGTTGAGGTATAGTACTCCACCCCCTCGCTTGTCCGGCATTTCCCCAAAAAACAGGGAAGTGGACTCTCAAAGGCAGGACAATTCCTCCCAGGGATGACCTGGCAATGACCTCACAGGCCCCACACCCAGACCTTCCTCCAGCCAACACCTAGCCTACAGACAGAGCCCCTGACCGCTGCTGACCAACCTCTACCCAACACCTACAGACAGAGCCCCTGACCGCTGCTGACTAACATCCACCCAACACCTACAGACAGAGCCCCTGACCGCTGCTGACCAACCTCCACCCAACACCTACAGACAGAGCCCCTGACCGCTGCTGACCAACCACCACCCAACACCTACAGACAGAGACCCTGACCGCTGCTGACCAACCACCACCCAACACCTACAGACAGAGCCCCTGACCGCTGCTGACCAACCTCCACCCAACACCTACAGACAGAGCCCCTGACCACTGCTGACCAACCACCACCCAACACCTACAGACAGAGACCCTGACCGCTGCTGACCAACCACCACCCAACACCTACAGACAGAGCCCCTGACCGCTGCTGACCAACCTCCACCCAACACCTACAGACAGAGCCCCTGACCGCTGCTGACCAACCTCCACCCAACACCTACAGGCAGAGTCCCCGTTCGCTGTTGCTAACCTTCAGCTAGAACCTACAGACATAGCCCCGGACCACTGTTGACCAACCACCACCCAACACTTACAGACATAGCCCCTGACCGCTGCTGACCAACCTCCACCCAACACCTACAGGCAGAGTCCCCGTTCGCTGTTGCTAACCTTCAGCTAGAACCTACAGACATAGCCCCGGACCACTGTTGACCAACCTCCACCCAACACCTACAGACAGAGCCCCTGACCGCTGTTGACCAACCTCAAACAGAAACTACAGTCTGATCCTCCTGACCATTACAAACTGATCAACAGCCAAATAGCCTGCTATGTACAATAAAGAAAACCAAAATGTGCAGTCTAAACCCATATCAGTTCAAATGTGAGAGTAAAATACAGTAAGACCTGTGTGGTTGGTACAGGCAGTGGATCTCTGACCCTTTATTTGCAAACAATTTCATTTGAAATGTCTTAGTGCCAATGTATAATCTTAATGTGAACTGAACATCATTTGGATTCTTAGGATGCAACAACATGCAATAGCATCACCAATTCAAAGGATTCCCAGAGTCCTGTGTATCAAAACAACCTTGTGATTACCTCCCATGCACCTCCAGAATAGTAAACGTGGCTACTATACAGCGTTGCTGAGGGCAACACATCATAGAGCACACAGAACACTGAGATTGCATCTCCCAATCCTGTTTCTGATTGGCTGGAGGGAAGAGGGATGACTCCAAAATGCTCTGACAATTAATAATCTGGGGAGGTCTGTATAATAAGGGTGCAGTACTGTGGGGATGCAAGGGGGGTGGGGTGGGTTAATGTCAGCCCAGCACTGGAGATTATACCTGCAATATACCATAACAACGGTGGAGGTGTGAGGAGAATACTCTGAATTTCACACATGGACTCAGCTTGCCCAACAAAACAGAATCCCTTGTCCACTGTCCAGTCCCCCCAACCATGGGACTCCTAGGTAGGGGAGAGTTGGGTATGTCGAAAATACAATTTCATTCAGCATCACTCCATCAAGATAAATATAGTATTCTTTCTAACAAAGATATCTACATATATTTCAGGATGTTGTGTATCCCTGGAAATAATCAGAATTAATTTAAACATTACCGTTTTGAAAACGTAGCTTGTCCAAAAAAAGGGTATGGGGTAAGTTGTGCAGCGGTACAGGGTAAGTTAAGCCGCCTACACTTTTCTGTACTGAATGAAATAATACCACTACCTTTTTAAAACCATGTCTATTCTTATTTCCCAAATACAATTCAACACAATCACAAACGCTTTTTTGTCTTTTAATAATTTTAAGCATCTTTTAACACAGGCTTAACACCTAACAAACACTTTGTACTTTTTTCAAAAATGTTTAAAATAGGCCAGGCCCTATTGTTACCTCATATCCCAGCAATAATGCCTGCGAAGAAAACACTTCCATTTTCTCAACTTGCCATTGGCTCAACCATTGGCTCAACTTACCCCAAGGCAAACATTTTGACTATATTAGCCCATGCTAGGTTTAGGACCTCATATTGAAGCTTAAAGACCCCAACTGATGTATAGAACAATCTTAAAATTATCTACTTTGGTTAAGATACAAGCATCATGAAACGCCAACACAATAAATTAATTTGACTTGGTGAAAATATGTTTGTTTTTTTACGAACTTGATTACCACTTTTTCCATGTGGTTTCTTCCTTCACAGACTCCATGAAATGATGACATCTTCCTAAATATTTGGTCAAATTATGAATTTTGTGTATGGTTTCCTACAAGCAATGGTGGCTCAACTTACCCCTTTGGCTCAACTTACCCCACTCTCCCCTACCGTATCCCTTAGGTAGCCATCCAAGACAGAAAAATTATGACCTGCCCAAATGAATTGTTATGTTCGTTCCTCAATGATTTACCCCCTCTACAGATATAGGATCTTAATTTCAGCCAGTTTGCTACAACAGGAAATGTGATCTATTATATGGATTATAATTAATGGACATTTATGTAGAGGTTGATACATTTTCGTAGGGGAAAATCAAGTCTGAACTACTAGATTTACATTTCGCACACACACACGCATGCACACACACAAATAAAACAACTTGAAATCCAAGTCAAAAGTAAAAGTTACGTTCAAGGTATAAACAAAAATGTCCCCATACCTTTCAGGCTCCTGCTCAGGCGACTGAGCTTTTCTCTCAAACCTAGGGAAGCTACTCATATCCACGTAACCATCAGTCTCATTGGCAGAAGACAGCACCCGACTCTGATGATCAAAGAACTCTGCAAAGGTCCCCGGTCGTACAGGCCTCCGAGAGGGGATCTGGATGTTCTCATAGTCGGAGTTGAGGGTCTGGGCTGGGATGTTCTCGTAGTCTGATGTGTCAGCGTTGGGGAAGGAGATGGAGCGGGGTTTAGTCAGGGGAAGGGGGGTGAAGGGGGCGAGAGTGCGATCCTCGAAGGACTCTACCCGGGCCACGCTGCGGTTGAGGAAGGCCACAGAACCCCCTTTTCTTTTCCCGTCCTTATAGAACAGAAAGGTGGATGGGGACTCAGGAGAGCGCTGGGGCTTACTGACTTTCCAGGACTTGACCTGCGGGGAGCTGCCTGTGCTGCGCCTGTCTAAATCAAGGACCTTGGCAATGCCGTGGTGGCTGGACTCAGAGGAGGACCTCGAGGAGGACACGTTGACATCCACCACCAGCTTGCTCTCCGTCTTTCTCCTTAACTTCAGCATCAGGAAACGCTTGAAGGAGGACTTCTTCTTCTTCTGCCTGTCTGGGGATTCTCCCTCGATGAACAGGGACGGGGAGCTCTTGGTGATGGGCTTCTTGGTGATGTAGGCCAGCTCAAAGGGAGGAGGGATGTCCACCATTGATGTAGGAGTGGACAGGCCGCTGGAGGGCAGGGGGCTTCGCTGGGAGAAGCTTCCAGAAGAGCCCGTGACACACGGCAGGGAGAGGCTGTCCTCCCCCGTCTCCTCCAAGAAACCCTGGCCCTCCCTGTACACACTTAGGGGCAGGTCCCGTGCCTCCATGGAGAAGGAGCGGGGGTACAGAAGAAAGCGATGTGGTTTGGATGAGCTCTTGGCCCGGGTTGAGTTTAACATGGGGCTGCTGCTCAACGCGGGTCCCCTCCGGTCCAATCCCACCTCGCAGTATTTCTGAACGTGGAACTCTGAACCCGCCTCCTCTGGAACCGTCTCAGGCACGTAACCAGGCACTTTCCCCGACAGCGACCGGGACCTGGTGACAATGGACTTCCTGTCAAAAGGCAGGAAATTCTCCCCCTCTGAGTCCAGGCCGGCCTCTTCGTAGACATGCTCATCACTGAGGTTGTCTTCTGTGTCTGTGGTCTCATCCAGGTAGGGAACGATGTGGCCCTCTAGATCTTCCTCGTCCCTGAACACATCAGAGTCATCTGGGGAGAGCAGCTGGCTGTCAGAGAACAACAAGGCCTGGGAGGTGTCTGTGTCCGCTGGCAAAGAGATGGACACCAGCCTGAAACGGGGCTGGTTGTTACTCTGGTTCAGGAAAGCCTCCACTGTCTGGAATCCAGGCGTCCTTTTCTGACATGAACCTGTCATGTTCTCCCTGTCATCATCATCATCGTCATCGTCGTCTATCTCAACGTAGTCCTCAGAGGAGACACACTCAATCTTCCCCATGTCGTCAGAGTCATCACACAGCGAGTCATCATCACCTATGGCTGCGTACTCACTGGGTTCCGTGATCTCTGTGGTGGCCAGTGAAGATTCCTCCGAAGTGCTCTCACTCTCTGCCGATCCGTGACCTTTACCCTCTGTGGGGCTCTGCTCTAGGTTCACAATGTCCTCAGTTGAGATGTAATAAGGCTCCAGGCTGGGGTCAGCTGCTTCCTCCTCTGTGTCAAAGAGTTGTTTTGCTTCATGGTGGCTTTGTTGGCACTCACCTTCTTCAATACTGTACTGAATAGTCATGGGGTCTTCATCAATGATGGAATATGGTTGGCACCTTCCTACTCTCTCATTTGAGGGACCAATTACATCATATCCATCGTCCTGTAGGACATTGTGAGGACTACCAGGGTTAGGTAAGGATTCTTCTGCTTCCTCCTCATCCTCCTCCTTGAAGGATGAAGGCTCTTTTGTAACAAGGTCCTCTATGTTGTCTTTGACAAGGAGAGCTATGGGTTCCTCAGAAATAGATACTGTTACTGCATCTGCTGTGCTATTAGCTGCTTCTTCTTCTTCCTCTCTTCGGCACTCCTCTTCCTGCTCCCTCTCCTCCTCTACATCCCTCTCCTCTTGCCCAGGCCCAGTTTCACAGGGGTAGCATGCTGCCTCCTCCTCCTCAATGCTGGTTATGGAGAGGTCACACACTGAGAGGCCATCTTTGTCGGCCAGCGCCTCGCCTGCATAGCTGCCCTCAGCGTCAATGTCATCAGTGATGTCCGTATCAATCTTCTCCACCGTGTCCACTGAGTCAATTGTGAATCCAGCATTACTGACCCCCAGCATTTCCAGAGAATCCACCTCCTCTGTTTGAACGCTGTCAGTTAACCTACAGTCCTCCTCTTCCTCCTGCATCATCTTCTCCTCCTGTTCCCTTTGCTCTTCATACCCATTCTCGTTGACCCCTGAACTGAGAGCGTCTGAGTAATACTGAGGTTCCACTGGTTCCTCCTCCTCTAGCCCCTCCCCTCCACTCAGAGTGTCCTCCGGCTCGTTCTCCTGGTCCAGCTCCTCATCTGAGGGCAGCATGTCCCCGTTGGTGTACCCCTCCTGGCTGTTGTTGGAGAGCAGGGAAGAGTCACGCCCCTCAAGGTCATGTGGTACTTTGGGTTTGGGGGCGATGGGAGGTTTGGGGCCCCTGGCTGAGGAGCAGGGCCGGGACATGAGTGGGGAAGGCAGCTTGAAGGTGAGGTGACTCACAAGCTTTGGTTTAGGAGCAATAGGAGGTTTCTTAAAATCTGAAAACAAAACAAAAAAGATCATCATTAGCAACTTCAATCAGAAACTGAATATTCAAAACATACAGGGGAGGAATCATGAGGTTAGCAGTCTGCACAAAAAAACGATTAACTAGGAGCAAGGAACAATCCATATAGAGTCAGAAGAGATTGAAATGTTGTAGGCTATCTTTAAAACAACATTCATCACTACCTCATATCCCTCATTTAATTGTGAAAAGCATAGTCTAAGTTGTTTCTATCTTTGTATTGTGATAGCCAAGCCTTTAAACAGATAGGACACCTGGGAAGGATATTGAATGTGGACACTTTTCTTAGAGGGACAAAAGTTACAACCCTAAAGGATTTATTAAAGGATTTCCCCCAAGTCACTTCCTGTGTTTCACTGGAGAGAAGCCCCTCTCAGACAGTTTTTGCTCCTTTGAAGGTGTGAGTATCAAAGGACAAAACAACAAAATACAAAAGAAAACACATGACAGCACAACTGGTCAAACATGACCTCAATAGATCAATCAACTATATGATCTCCTCTCCATCCCCTGAGGAAAACAGCATCCCTGGCTGGACCATGAAGAACCAATCAGATTCTCCATAAAGCTGCAATGTGACATGCATCATAGGCTGTGTTTAGAGAGGCAGCCCAATTCTGATATTTTTTTCACTAATTGGTCTAATGCCATTGACAACCTTGTCATAAATCAATAATGGGCATTATCAAAAGAATATCTGGTGTCAATAAAATCCTCATCACTCATGTGTTTAGATATATCTATTATCCTAGATATATTAGCTATACACTATATATCAGGCAAAGCGTCAATACAGGACTAAGATTGAATCCTACTACATCGGCTCTGACGCTCGTTGGATATGGCAGGGCTTGCAAACTATTACGGACTACAAAGGGAAACCCAGCCGCGAGCTGCCCAGTGACGCGAGACGGGCTAAATGCATTTTATGCTCGCTTCGAAGCAAGCAACACTGAAGCATGCATGAGAGCACCAGCTGTTCCAGACGTGTGATCACGCTCTCCGTAGCCGATGTGAGCAAGACCTTTAAACAGGTCAATATTCACAAGGCCACGGGGCCAGACGGATTACCAGGAGCATGCGCGGACCACTGGCAAGTGTCTTCACTGACATTTTCAACCTCTCCCTGACTGAGTCTGTAATATCTACATGTTTCAAGCAGACCACCATAGTCCCTGTGCCAAGAAAGCAAAGGTAACCAGCCTAAATGATTCCCGCCCCGTAGCACTCACGTCGGTAGCCATGAAGTGCTTTGAAAGGCTGGTCATGGCTCACATCAACACCATCATCCCGGAAACACTAGACCCACTCCGATTCACATAGCGCCCCAACAGATCCACAGATGACGCAATCTCAATCGCACCCACACTGCCCTTTCCCACCTGGACAAAAGGAACACCTATGTGAGAATGCTTTTCATTGACTATAGCTCAGCGTTCAACACCATAGTGCCCACAAAGCTTATCACTAAGCTAAGGACCCTTGGACTAAACACCTCCCTCTGCAACTGGATCCTGGACTTCCTGACAGGCCAGGTGGTAAGGGTAGGCAACAACACATCTGCCACACTGATCCTCAACACGGGGGCCCCTAAGGGGTGCGTGCTCAGTCCTCTCCTGTACTCCCTGTTCACCCACGACTGCGTGGCCAAGCACGACTCCAACACCATCATTAAGTTTGCTGACGACACAACAGTGGTAGGCCTGATCACCGACAACGATGAGACAGCCTATAGGGAGGAGGTCAGAGACCTGGCAGTGTCGTGCCAGGACAACAACCTCTCCCTCAATGTGAGCAAGACAAAGGAGATGATCATGGAGCAGGTCGAGAGTTTCAAGTTCCTTGGTGTCCACATCACCAACAAACTATCATGGTCCAAACACACCAAGAAAGTTGTGAAGAGGGCAGGACAACGCCTTTTGGCATGGGTCCCCAGATCCTCAAGAAGTTATATAGCTGCACCATCGAGAGCATCCTGACCGGTTGCATCACCACCTAGTATGGCAACTACTCAGCATCCGACTGTAAGGCACTACAGAGGGTAATGCGTACAGCCCAGTACATCACTGGGGCCAAGCTTCCTGCCATCCAGGACCTATATACTGTCAGAGGAACGCCCAAATAACTGTCAAAGACTCGTCACCCAAGTCATAGACTGTTCTCTCTGTTACCACGCGACAAGCGGTACAGGAGCGCCAAGTCTAGGTCCAAAAGGCTCCTTAACAGCTTCTACCCCCAAGCCATAAGACTGCTGAACAATTAATCAAATGGCCACCTGGACTATTTGCATCAACCCCCCCCCCCTACCTACATGTACAAATTACCTTGACTAACCTGTACCACAGCACATTGACCCCCTGTATATAGCCTCGTTATTGTTACTTTATTGCGTTACTTTTTACTTTATTTTATTTAGTAAATATTTTCTTAACTCTATTTCTTGAACTGCATTGTTGGTTAAGGGCTCGTAAGTAAGCATTTCATGGTAAGGTCTACACCTGTTGTATTCGGAGCATTTGACAAATAACATTTGATTTGATATGTTGTTGTTTATCTATCTTAGTTGAATGCACTGACTGTAAGTCGCTCTGGAGCGTCTGCTGAATTAACAAAATGTAAATGTAGAAACAAACACATGCAAAGCATGCTGGGTGTTATTCTAATGAGCTTCGCCCCCAAACAAGTCCAAATTTAGTCAGCCCGGACCAGACCAGATCTGAGCTAATCATAGAATTCTAGGCTATGTTTTACAAGTTTGTGCAGTACAGTACGGTACAGTTCAGTACAGTAGAGCACAGTAGAGTACAGTACGGTACAGGACAGTAGAGTTTAATTCAGTAGAGTAGTGTAGAGTAGAGTACAGTAAAGTACAGTACAGTACAGTTTAATTCAGTATAGTAGAGTACAGTAGAGTTTAATTCAGTAGAGTAGAGTGCAGTACAGTTTAGTAGAGTACATTCGAGTAAAGTAGGGTACAATACATGATACTGTACTATACTAGAGATGGGCGGTATACCGTATTTTTTTATATACAGGTATTGATGCACAGACCAGTTTGGGTTTCTAATTCACCTTCTACAGTATTTCAATGTTTGGTTTGTTAAATGTGATACACCACTCTGCCAGACGTCTATGATTGTTTCAGATTTTTTGGGGGGACAAGACCAAAAATCTACTTCAAATCCAGGCTGGTCTGGACAGCACCAAAAAAAGACAACCGGTCTGGACAGGACCAAAAAAAGACATCCAAAAGACGTTGGCGTAAGGTCCATGCTTAGTGGGAAGTCTGGCCCCCTACCTACACACACAGTCCCTTTCCAATTTTTTTATGGGTAGGACACGTTCTTACACACTCTCTTTTTTATAGGAACAAAACAAATCAGACAATGCGGCGTTTTATTATGAACTGACCAAAACGTTGTCAAGACCTACAGTATATGAGTTGTACATTTGTCCAAATCAAGGTGATCTTACCTGTGTTCATTTTCGGGAACCATCTGCGCGAACATCCGAACCGTTTATCATTTATCAATCCTTGTGAGAAAGCAACAGCCCGTACATTCTAGACAACAACACGTATTCGCAGAAACAGAAAGCAAGCTATTCAAAGACCAGTAAGGTAAAACTATAACTTTGGTTTTCTTATGTCGAGTTTATTGCGTCAAGTTACTTTCCAGCTGTAATGGTCCTCGATTGGTGAAGCGCGCATTGTATGTGGTGAGAGGCGCGACTGAACTGATGCACGATGGTTTGGAGTTGGGAGCTGAGCGCGGGAGGTGCTCCCCTGGCGTTTCCTGAGGAGGAAGCGCCCTTTTCCATGTCAGGGACTGACCTGCCCTCAAAACAATACACATCGAGGTAGATAAGCTGAATTTATTATTTAAATTGAGTAGCCTACTACTGAGAGCAGGTAATTTAAATAGAAAAGCACATGGCTTACACAATGAGTAACTTTTCTTTGTGCATTCCAATTGCCAATATGGGGTAGGCTACTATAATCCAAAGAAATTGTAAGACTCATTTACCCAGAACCCATTGCCTTTTGGCCCTCATCAGACAGATAGTCTATGTTAAATGCATTGACAAACTGGAATTGACAACATGCATGATATAAAAACAACTGATGGACTTCATGTTGTCCAAGCTGATGAACGCTTTGTTTGTGGAAAATGGATGGTGACCTTTTCCACATGAGGCTGTGTGACCATAGGCTCTGAGACATCCAGCTAAAAACAGAATGTGTGGGATCCCAGAGACTGCTGCCATTTGGACATGGTTTCCTGCCCATACATCTGAAGTGTGATTGGAGGACAGCAGTCCCTTAAAACATTTCTGCATAACAGGAAATTGCTCTCCCTGTTTCCTGCACAAGGAGGCTCCACTTCCTTAGCAACTAATGGACAAAACGGGCACATTTAACCCTTTGGAGTGTTGAAACTCAAACGATGACGATGTAACGTATTTTGTCTCTTAAAGTAGTCACAGGATAGGATACACCAAAAATAATTTATTTTCCATTACAACAATGAAGTATTGTGTTTAGGAGAACTGCCTATTTCCTATTGTGGTACACATTTCTATACAGTAGGCCTATCTATAAACCACATTTAACATATTTATGAATGTACCATCTTTCGACTTTCTTGTCCTAATGCACCCTCAGCAGCATCGGTAGAAACCGGAAACATCCGTTTTTCAGGGATACAGCATCTTTAACCAAGCTTCCTTTTCCCCTAAAAACCGGACGTGGGGTCCCCGCTCAGGCGTTTCTTTTACGCCTGCTATGTCAGGTTATACTGTAACACCACAGCAGCTATTATGATCCATGAACTGACTTTGCCTCACTCTGCATCTCTCAGGGTGTGACACATGGACACGCACACACACGCACACACACATACACACACACTCACAGACACACTCACACTCACACTCACACACAGACAAATACTCAGTCATGTTCAGCTGCAGAGGTAATCCCAGCAATCTCACTGTCACATGCAGTTCAGAGAGAGGCTAAACCCGCACAGAAGGCATGCAGATTTCTGCCCAGGTCCACTAAAGAGAACACTCAGAACTCCAGGATTACAGCGTTCCGAACACCCAGGGCATCCCCCCTTGCTGTGACAGTGCACATGGGAGGATATTGGATAAACTGCCTCTACCTGGGAAAGGACCATGGGGTGCCATTTTCCTCTTGCTCTCTCTCAAAACATTGAAAGGTCAAAAAATCTGGCCACATCACAGCCGGCCTGGGGATTACTGCAGATATAATTCAACATGCAACATACATAAATAAGTCCCATTGCTGGCACTGGCAGCATTACAAGAAGAGACACTGCAGGAAAACCTGCAACTGTAGACCTGACTGGTAAAGAAAAAACGATCTACAGTCCAGTCTAGTGCTCCCAGGTTCAAACAACGGGAGGCACCACACTGGGTTCCACTAAGTTAGACCTGCCTAAAATAGGTCAACCACTCTGATCCTATTACACATTGATTAAACATACTTGAATTCCACCACAACTGTATCTCTGCAGAATTATCCTATTTGTATTTTTAAATCAGGGGTCTCTGCAGAACGATCCTATTTGTACTTTTCAATCAGGGGCATCATGCATGCATTATGACCAGTCCATATATTTTAAAGCTAATCCCTTAACTTCAATTGGCATGACAACTCTGTTTTCAACAGTCCCCCAACTCAGGCTAAGTATAGCGTACTAGCAGCACAGATTGTTTTCTGATGATTGAAAACATTAAGTGCCATTACCTCTGACCCCTTTTGTTTGTCCAATAAGTGTGTTTTCATATTGAGTCAATAAAGGGCAGGGAGGTGGGCTCAGAGAGCAGCCCTGCTCTGTGGCATGAGAGAATAACGTATCTCCTGATAAACAAGGGACTGCAGATGTGGACACATGAAAACATGGTTTGGGCTCTGAGATGGGGGGTTTCCTCCACACACACACTCTCTAACACACACACACGCGGACACACACACACAGCAATCCTTGCCCCCTCCTGAAGGGGAATGGAGGTAAAATAGGGTTAATAGGCCAGTGATGATCTCAGGGCTGGAATGTGAGGTGTTCTTGTCAACGTGCCAGCTCCACAAACTGATCTGAGGCCAGTGTTGTCTAACACCTGTGCTGTGTGCAGCCAGCTGTGGTGTTACAGAGCAGGTTGTTGTGGGAGGAGGAGGATGATTAATGGACGGACCCATTCACTCTGGCTTCTACACCACATGCAGTAATTAGGTCCACCTGCAAATCAGCATTTAGAACCAGAGAATGAGGGAAAGTGTGTGTCTAAGAGAAAGAAAGAACAAAAGAACTAACAAACAAAAGAAAGAAGAAAAGAAAGAAAGAAAGAAAGAAAGAAAGAAAGAAAGAAAGAAAGAAAGAAAGAAAGAAAGAAAGAAAGAAAGAAAGAAAGAAAGAAAGAAAGAAAGAAAGAAAAGAGGGGAGGACGGCTCATGAACCCAATCAATAACTTCCCTTTAATACAATGCTTTGTTCTCCTGATTGTAACATTCATGAAAGGGAATTCCTGACCCCCAAGAACGCAGTGGCCTCCATCATTCTTAAATGGAAGACGTTTGGAACCACCAAGACTCTTCCTAGAGCTGGCCGCCCGGCCAAAATGAGAAATCTGTGAAGCGTGGTGGTGGCAGCATCATGCTGTGGGGATGTTTTTCAGCGGCAGGGACTGTGAGACTAGTCAGGATCAAGGGAAAGATGAACGGAGCAAAGTACAGAGAGAGCCTTAATGAAAACCTGCTCCAGAGAGCTCAGGACCTCAGACTGGGGCGAAGGTTCACCTTCCAACAGGACAACGACCCTAAGCACACAGCAAAGACAACGCAGGAGTGGCTTCGGCACAAGTCTCAATGTCCTTGAGTGGCCCAGCCAGAACCCGGACTTGAACCCGATCTCTGGAGAGACCTGAAAGTAGCTGTGCAGCGACGCTCCCCATTGAACCTGACAGCGCTTGAGAGGATCTGCAGAGAAGAATGAGAGAAACTCCCAAAATACAGGTGTGCCAAGCTTGTAGCGTCATATCCAAGAAGACTCGAGGCTGTAATCGCTGCCAAAGGTGCTTCAACAAAGTACTGAGTAAAGGGTCTGAATACTTATGTAAATGGTTTTTGCAATAGCACTACACAGCTGATTCAAATAATAAAATAATAAAGTAATGTATTGTGTCATTTTGGAGTCACTTTTATTGTAAATAATTATAGAATATGTTTCTAAACACTTCTACATTAATGTGGATGCTACCATGATTACGGATAATCCTGAATGAATCGTGAATAATGATGAGTGAGAAAGTTATAGGCAAACAAATATCATACACCCAAAGAAATGCTTACTTCCCCTGTTATTTTAATGGTGAGAGGTTAGCATGTCTTGGGGGTATGATATCTGTGCGTCTGTAACTTTCTCACTCATCATTATTCACGATTCATTCAGGATTATCCGTAATCATGGTAGCATCCACATTAATGTAGAAGTGTTTAGAAACTTTTTCTATTCTTATTTACAATACAAGTGACTCCAAAATCCCTGAGTGGCGCAGTGGTCTAAGGCACTGCATCTCAGTGCTTGAGGCATCACTACAGACCCCCTGGTTCGATTCCAGGCTGTATCACAACCGGCCATGATTGGGAGTCCCGTAGGGCGGTGCACAATTGGCCCAGCGTCGCCTGGGTTTGGCCGGTGTAGGCCGTCATTGTAAATAAGAATTTGTTCTTAACTCACTTGCCTGGTTAAATAAATAAAAATAAATTTAAAAAATGGCACAATACATTATGTTCTATTGGGCACAAAATCTGAAACACAACCAAAACAAACAGCAAATGCATCCAACAAATGTGTAGAGTTACAAGCTTGATGTAGTCATTGCGTGCTATGTATATGGGACCAAATGCTTAACTTTTTACTAATTTAATACACATAAGTGAATTTGTCTGAATACTTTTGATCCCCTAAAATGGGGGGACTATGTACAACAAGTGCTAAATGGTTCACCTGATATGGATGAAAATACCCTCAAATTAAAGCTGGCAGTCTGCACTTTAACTTCATAGTCATTGTTTGATTTAAGATCCACACTTTTGAGTATAGAGCCAAAAGCAGAAAAACATGCATCACCGTCGCAATAATAACGGAGGGCACTGTATATGATCAAGTGGGAGAATCCCTGTGCTGTGTATGTGTATGTGTGTGTGTATGTGTGTGTGTGTGTGTTTTTCTGTGTGTGCTGTGGCATAGCGCAGTTTCACATGTTTTATTTTATTTTTACAATAAGAATGTGGCTTGAAAAAAATAGTTCCCTCTTGATTTACTCTTTCCTGTCACTGTTTTCAGGTCTTTCAGCAAAAGGGGGCAGGGAACCAATAGCTTTGTACGAGTGATAGTTATGGCCAGAGCAGTTAAGTATTGGGTCCGTCAGTCTATGATATATACAGTTTAATTTGTATGT